AAAGGTACTTTAAAGCTCACCTGTTGACAAGGGAGAGGAAGTTTTGAATCATCCCGTGGGCCGTGTCTGTCATCTCTGACAGCAGGAGCCCATTGATGACCCAGTAGGAGTCCCTGTTGAGTAGAGAGCAACTCACGTCACTGTCTGCACATGGCACCTCACTGAGATCTCAGCAGCGACTGATCAGTCCTCACGTCGACCCGGTGAGACGGGCTTCATCGTTCACTCACCAGTAGTAGAGTTCCCTGAAGCGCCCCCCTGGCACGACAACAGGATGTGGACTGTATATCTGTGAGTACAGCTCTGGGTGATCCTTTACATCAGCATGGATCTGGGGGAGAATTCAGTTTTAATTTAAAATTCTTGGACTTTTATACACTCGGTGGTGGAAAGTAACCAAGTATATTTACTCAAGTGCTGTACTGAAGGACAAAAGCCCACAATGACATATTGAAATAGCTTTTGTTCAAGCAAAATAAAGATATTCACTTTACTTTCAAAGAAAAAATACCAAAAGAATTTAAATCCAAATTCAACCCTGGAGACATTTAATAAGTGGTTAAAAATGACAAATGATCAATTATCACATTGATAATCTTCTCATTCCAGCTGTAGACATCACCTTTCTGCCAAGAGACTTCCACAGATTATGTATCTTCTGAGCCCAGTCACGTAGTTCTTGGTCTGTAATTCCATCCAGGAACTTTGGCCTGCAAAAAATAAAACTCATTAACCTTTTACATATATAGTAACCTTTTAAAAATATAGTATGAGCTGAGCGAGTCCTTTAATAACTGCATCTCACTTGTCATGCCAATCCGGTGGCGTCCATGACTCAAACTCTGTGCCTGGTTTCACAAAGTACACACTGAGGAACTCCTGCAGTGCGGCAGCGGGGACAGTGGTGTTCGGGTATTCATTTGAAAGATTGCGGAAAGCCAGCAAAACCTCATCTGCACAAAAAGGTGCAGGTAAGTAAGAGAAACGACCACATTGTGAACTTGTTTAAAAACAAACCAAGATAATTTACTGACTAACTTACCAGGTGCTGCCCTCAGCTTCATATCAACAAAATACTTGTCATCATCAAACAATTTAGCTTTCTGTACCTGATGCAGGATGGGCCCAGTACAGTATATTTCACTGAAATCAATTTAAAGAGTTGTTAATTATTAGATGTATAATCAAGGCAATAATACAATACAGCCACATGCTGTTACAGAGTCCTGTGTGGAAGCAATAAAACCATATCTGTCAAAAAAAAAAAAAAGCAGGTAAGGACAAAGGTCTGCTGATAACTTGATATTTGCTAAAGCAAACAATATAATAGAAATAGAGGAAAGTTGTTTCCTGGCTGCAGTTAGTGGAGTCAGCATTTGCAAAAACATCACTCCCTTCTATGGGCATAGCAGCAGTTGTTATCCCACAAATCTTTGTTTTTCCCCTTGTCAAGATAGAGTACAAAGTCAAATGTAGAAATTTGTATAAAAAAGGTCAGATAACCAGAAGTAAATCTGACAAAGAGGTGGCATTCAGAAGGATTACATTAGTTTCACACTTAAGTATTGTTTATTTTGGTGGCAAGTCTAGGAAAACTTTAAAGGTTTAGGTTGTTGAGGAGCCTAGAGCCACGTTGAGGATCAAGTGGTCAGTTTCACAACCATTCAACAGGCACTGAAGAACAGGCATTCATCACAACACAAAACCCCGTTAGGGAAACCCCCTTCAGTTGTTTATCTTACCTGTCACATGGTGGTGGAAGAGCACTCTTTACAAAGGCCAGGAGAGGAACTAACAAAAAGCCAAATATCATCAACTTGTGCATCTTGAGCTATAAACTGAAGAGACGCCCGAGCACAACGAAGCCTGGTCTGGGAACTGCCTCTAGCTCATAGTTTATATTGAGGCACAACGTTTGATCAGCAGCAACATACTGACACCTAGTTTTGAAAGAGCCGTTTCACAGGTCACTGCAGTGGGAGCCAAAGAAAATAAAAGCCTTCAGACACAATAAATTTCAGTGAGCTTTATTTTCAACAAAACTGTCATACGTACCCAATATTCATGACATCCTTTCAACTTAAAGTCCACTGTAAAATTAGCTTCACTGAAAAATCTGCCAATTATGATCAAATTTCCATCAATTAAAAAAAGAAATCAGGATTTAAATTCCTTACTTAAATTGAGTCTTTAAATAAGGTATCCTCTACTTGAACATTTCATTTGAAAAGAAAAGAGGAAAGTCCAAATCTATGGGCAAATTTTTCAAACCTTTTTATACCCATTACCATGACTTTGGATCTTTAGACCACATTGTGTGGTGTAATGCCCGAAGGCCCCTTCCCACGTTATTTTACTGATGCATCAAGTTTTGAAAGAAATCCCAACAGGACTCCTCTCACATCCTTTTTGAACAGGGAAGTGACAGAAGAGCCAAATTGCACACAAAAGCTGTGTCATCATAAATGCGTCACAACAGTCAGAGGATGAACGTGAGCATCAGGGCAGCAAGTGCACTAATTTAAACCACCCCACAATTTTAAAAAGACCTTAAAGACTGAGACAATTTAGTTACACAAACTATCCAATTGGTCAGCCAATCTAGGGCAAGATGCTCTTGTCTCAGTCTTTAGGGTTGTCAGTGACAGCCGCTGGCAGCAAAGCACCATCCCATCAGAGGAAGCAACACACCAAGGATCATCGATTTTAGCCTCAAAAACACTTGCTGGGGCAATTACTGCCAGTAGGCTGACAAGACACAGGCAGCTGCCAGGTGCCTGCAAAATGATATCCCTGTTCACTCAACTAAATTAATTTGCTTTATTTAGATTTTTTCACAAACAGAGCCCCCACCCCCCAAAAATAAAACAGCCAATTTAGATGTACAAGTGTTTCAGGGACAACATGATTGAGAGAACAGGGATCAGTCCTAAACAATGAGAAATAAGACAGCCACCTCTAAATCACTGTCACACTGTTAGCTTAAATAAAACAAAAAAAAGTGCAATAGTACTTCTCATCAATTAGAACAGTCAAGAGAGCATCTCAGAATAAAGGGAACCTCATTTGCAAAAAGTTCTGTAGTATCCAGATGACCTTAATGCAAGTAAGGCTGTCAAGTTGCATAAAAATCCCCAAAACATCAAGCACTAAAGGGCAGAGAAGCCATAAACAAGTTTTCTTATTTTTAAACAAGCAGTCTGCCCAATTGTGATTTGGTAATCCTTCACGTCCCCCCGCCCCACCAATTTATTAAATGTTCTGCACCAACATACACTTCTCTCCCCTCTGGGCATCATGAGTGCACAAAAAGCAGCGCAGTCACCGTTACTGCCTTAACCCATCTCTGTGCGTTAAGTGCAGCCCAACCTGCTCGGGTCGTTTTTAGCAAATCATTTTTGTTAGCCGTCAGGAAAGCCAGCTAACGTACAATGCACAGAATGAATTCCTGTTACATTTTAGGTCAGAAGGTTCATTTTGATGCATTGGGCTGACATTCTTCAAAAGAGGGAAGAAGGAAATGGCACGAAGCACACAGATCAATGTAACAGCTTAAACCTCCCCAGAAAACAAATTATCTGCCAAATTCAGCTGCACTGCAGCAAGTACTACCTACTACATGATATAACATTTTATCTTCCAACAATGACACTCACTACAACTGGAGATCCGAGTGTCCCAAGAGTCGGTTTTACAAGTTAAAGGCTGGTGACAACAAAGAATTCATTAACTCAAATGCACAAGCTTAAAGCCATCCGTCTAGACTGAACACTTAACACTGGTAGCAGGAGAATAAGGGCAGTTTACACAATATCAGCTTAAGTGCAGGTCTGAACGTTGTACTTAAATTTGGAGGTTACAAGATGGTCAGTGATGAACTCTGCCTCTGAAAACATTTCATGAACCAGGTCATTTAAATGTTTTCGATTCTAAGAAATTCTGTAATTTCTAAAACTACTAATTGGCTCACAGGCCAATATTGCAGATCAAAAACTGGCAGTTAAGGAAAATCTCCAGTGCCAACAAGAAAGAGTGGGGGAAAAGCTTTTCAGTTTGTCAGTCAGCCTTTTGAACTTGTTTAAAACAATCTTAAAATGAAGGTATTTACACAAGGTGTATGGTGCACCCCACATGTAGGCTGCACATCTTGTAGAATTAAGTATGGCCATCCATAGGAAGGGTGAAACAGGACGAGGGGAAAAAAAAAAAAAAAAGACAAAAGAAGCATTCTGTCTAATTTGACACCACCGAAACATCAGTCCCTGTAACTCATGGTGTTGAGAGGCTGCTTACTCATTTTTAGTGTTCTGATGCTGAAGACAGGAAAGGCTCTGGGTCTCTGAGAAGCACACACTTCTTCACAAGCAACTGGACAGTCTGGCTGTCTCTTGGAAAAATCCAGCATTTCTGTCCATGGAAAATCCAAGTTTGTCCTCTTGTCAGCCAGACTCAAGTGCAGCCAAATCAGCAAAAAGAAGTCAGACCAGTATGCCTCCTAATCATCTCCACTCCGTGCAACGGATGAACCAACCAAAAACAGTTATGAATTCACCTGTGTGGTCAAACTATAAATTACTGCAAGCACAATTTCTCAATTAGGTGAGTGTGTGGCATTATGAAGAATGCAAGATGGTGGATAATGAAGGGTTATTACTTTAGAACAAGTTGAACTGCTTGTTAAGGCACTTGGTACAAATTGGTTAAAACTTCCAAAATAAAACGAAGAATGGAGGGTGTCATACAGGGGTCTGTTGGTGCTGGCTTTGTGTCATTGGTGGATAAGAATCGTCACAATGTGCACTGATATTTTCAACTTGGTCCCATGCTTTCCTCTTTGTGTCTGTGTCTTCAGATTATGGTGGTGCAGCGCATGTGCCCTAGTAAAAAGGCAGATGAGTTCTTCTGAAAAACGGCCATCAAAATATGCATTCCTTATGGTGGCATCCACAAAAAAAGGGGGGGGGAAGACAAACTGTACATTAAAAGAAAAAACTCCAAGATGGGAGGAAGGATGGAAAAATAAAATAAATGGGGAACGGAGGATGGACTGATCTGGAGAGAGAAAGTGAAAGTAAGTTAGACCAGACTACAAGTAAATATGCTGCTCAAGTTCCATTTACATTACTTCCTTGTGGAATAGTCTAAATATTCTGGATCAATATTTACAATTGTATATATTCATTCTTTCTCAGCAAAATCATTCACACAGTCACGTCCCTTTAGACCAGGGTGTCAAACTCAATCGCATAGGGGGCCAAACCTCAAAGCACACAGGCCGAACAGGATAAAAATTTATTGAACAGACTAAAACTAAACGTTTGAACATAAAAATGTGAATCGAAACCGACAGGATACAATATTATTCCAAAATAAATCAACTTGAACTTAAAATCATCAACCGCATTTCTGCTAAGGCTTACATTTGCAAACACCTTTTTGTCTGGACACAAGACGTCGCACACTTTCATCATGCAGCTCTTCAGAAACTCTCCCTCGGTAAATGTCTAGGCTGATTTTCTCCTCTGCCACAATAAAACTTGCTATCACAGCAGCTTCACTGTGTGATTTGGCTTTGGTGAAAACGTCTGCTATGATGTCAGATTCCTCTTCAACTCCTCTACCTTCTGTAGCTTCTGCTTTGCATTCACGTTTTTCAGCTTGTCCTGATGTTTTGTCTCGTAGTGCTGTCTTAGGTTATATTCCTTAATTACAGCCACATTAGCTCCACAAATAAGACACACAATGTCAGTAAACATATACTCAGCCTCCCACTGGTTTTCAAAGGCTGTTTTCAGAATCAACTTTTCTCTTGGCCATTGTTAGGGGCT